CCCCCCGGCGGTAATACATCTGAGTACTCAAACCCTCCCGAGTGGTGCTTGTTTCTTGGCTGGCCTGTTGTTTCCGTAACAGAATAAGGCCAAGAGCCAGCTGGTGTGCTCTAACTAGAGAGCTGCATAACCTTCTGAGATCTCTTCTAACTCTAACTCTTTCATTTTCAATCAAAAAAACTAGAAGACAAGTCCAAGGATAATTTCCACAACTTCTGGTATTAGGTTTAACTATATGAAATTGCCATTTTTTAGGTCAAAACAGTCAAATATCAGCAATTTGATATAATTCAACCTAATACAATAATTATTCCAGGAGTTCATCTGTACCTCTCTTCCTCTTCACTAAAGCTAGAAACTTGAATATATTTAGCTTTTAGGTCAAAGTACTGGTGGACATGTAAATGCCCATCTGCATAAGCACTGCAAAATTATAGTGCTGGGATTCAAGATGTGTTTTGGATAAACCATGTACAGCTTATCTTTTTATTGTGCTGGACACTGGTGCCTCTTGTCTGACTTCAGGAATTTTCAGGCGATGGAAAACAAGAAAAGAAGTCCAAAGGCCTGATTTTTCAACCGGTGGGCAATTCTGTCTGGGAAATGGGCCAAAGGAAGAACAAGGGAAAATATCACCAGATCTGTATGTGCCAGGTTACACATTTAGTGGAGGAAGAGAACAACAAAGCCATGAGCAGAAAAACAAAGCGTGTCGCCTCCTCCTGTCTAAAACAGAGTATTGCTTAATGTGTCCTGCTTTCAAGATTCTAAGCATAAGACAAGACACCAAGTACACATTGGAAAAGTCATATCTGCATAGTCATCTAAAATGAGACAAGCTTAGCTTAACTAAAAAGAGTTTTATTAACAATGTAAAATGTTAAGTATTTTTATGGTCTGAGCTAATTTCGGCATGCCCTATAAGATTTAACACTAGGCTGATGTGCAGACATCATGCTTCAGATTTCAATTAGAACAAAATGTGATAATATTCAATTTTACATTTGAGGATAATTGTATATGTTACTACACCATTTTCTAATGGGATTTCTTCATTCTCCGAGAAGCTGAAAAAGACACCATTGGATCAAAAGGAAATTAGTTGCCCATATGCATTGGATGAAGGTATTAGGGTTATTGTGTATTTACAAAATTTAAATACTTTTCATATATGGTGTTTGTTGCATTATAAATTAAGGTATTTTTATGTTGAAGCTCTTAGATTCTGACAGAATGGAAGACTAAACGTAATTAAGTGCAGAGAAAGCAATAGGTGAGGTGGTGTATGTTCGATTATAATACTATTTCTAATATTCACTGGATTTTTGAACAGTTTTGCAGTTTTCAATAGATTTCTATGTTGAAAGACTCTCATATATGATAAATTGTTAACATGAGATCAGCAAGAGCTATAGATATACTATTATACATGAAATAGTTTTTCTCTGTATAATACACTTAAAAAAAACCTTTAAATAATTTAAAAATCATAATTCCTGCATCTGTCATGGTGTGGTTTGGAGCAGACATGTGCAATGTCAGCTTTAAAAATCCTTTTAAAAACAGCCTGCTTTTTTAATCTGTTTTTTTTTTTAATCCCTTGACAGCAGCTGCTTTCAAATGTAAAATCATTTAAAAGGGCAGGGGGAGGCAGATAAAAGTAATAAGGAAGCATAGAAAACATAGTCAGAAACCAGTAACCGTGGTTCAGCTGTCCGGAGGTCCTCGGGTCCTGTGAGATTTTCAGGTCTTCCCAGTGGTGGGTTTCCAGGAGGCATCGCCTAGCTTGAGACAAGACAACACAGCCCAAAGAACCTTCTCTTCCGTCTTCTAACCAGAGGGTAGGGAGTTAGGTTCAGAAGGCTGCTGTCGTCTGTGGGGACAGAACATACATAGGTTCAGACGAAACAACCTGTATTTTATAAACTGGCCTTAAAAATCCACCAGCTTTAAATCAAAGTTTCTTGACCTCAGCAAATGTCAGCACTGTTGACATTTTGGACCAGAAAATTTGGACAATTCTTTATTGCTGGGGGCTGTTCTGAGCCTAGCAGGGTGTTTAGCAGCGTCCCTGGCCTCTACTCACTAGCTGCCAGTAGCACTCCCCTACCAGTTGTGACCACCAAAAATGTCCCCAGATGTGGCCAAATGTTCCTGGGGTGGGGTGAGGGTGGAGCGAATAGCCCACAGTTGAGAATCATTGCTCAGAATTAAATTTGAACTGCTTAGAGGCAATCTTTCAGTTGGGAGATGTACATCTTCTTAGAAAGAGCCCATGCTTTGGAGTAAAGTTGGCTTCTTTTCTAAACTCGACTCTATTTACCAGCTCTGTGACTTTGAACAAATTACTTAAGCTCATTAAGTTTCATTGTTCCCAGATGTTAAAAAAAAACTTATCTTAGGTGAGGATTAAATGAAATAATACGTGAAAAACATTTAGCTTGGATGGGGGACCTTGGTGCCTAACATGGAGGAAGCATTCGATAAATACAGTTATTATTAACTATTTCCCTTTACAAAGGACCATTGTCTTATCTCCATTCACCTACTTTATGCCTCAGGAAGAAGTTTCAACTATTCCTTGTTGAGTCTTTTCTATAGATATCTGCACACAAGGGCATTTAGAGAAGATTGTCAGCTGTTGAGGTCCTGTTTTGTTTTGAAATTTTTAGTACGATGACAAGTAGAGAAACAGGTGGGGGGCATAAATTAGGAGTTTGGGCTTACATATACACTCTACTAAATATAAAACAGAAACAACAAGGACCTACTGTATAGCACAGGGAATTATACTCAGTATCTTGTAATAACCTATAATGGAAAATAATCTGAAAAAGAGTGTATATATATATGTATGTGTATACACACACATATACAACACATAAACACACACACACATATATATAAATATATAAATTAATCACTTTGCTGTACTCTTGAAACTAACACAATATTGTAAATCAACTATACTTCAATCAAAAAAAAATAAGTAATCTGGTTTGAGTAGCTGGGGTTTATGAAATAGTGTAGTTCAACAGAGAGGGTGGTAAATACAGGCTGTTGGAACAGAACTGGCCAGTGTGGGTCCAAGAGGCTGGAGAAGGACCCCAAGGAAATAACCTAGAAATTGCCAACGGGTACAGCACTAGGATATGGTCAGAATGGAACCAGGGGCAACAAAACGGCTGGTTGGCTCTGGCAACTCCTATATACATAAGTTTTGCCAGGACTAGTTGCACTGCCCTCCCAGAGCAGAGCTAAGATGTTCCCTCCTTTCCCCATCCTAATCTTGAAGATACAAAGCCTTGGGAAAGAGCCCAGAATCAGGAGTTAGATGAAGAGATGGGTATAGTGAAGAACGTGCCCCTCTTCAATAAAACTGCCTTCTAGAAGGGGTTGGTGTTCTTGATTATTGAGCCTTAGATGCTCAGGAAACTGTCAAGAACAAAAATGAGTCTTGGCTTTCTGGTTTTCTTACATAAATTGTCATCCAAGGTCCTGGGCTTTCCCTCCCTGTCCCCAAAGGCTCTCATGTGTCATACTTATTTGCAAATGAGTGTCACCCACCGAGTTGACAGTGTTCCTCGGAATGCTCACTGTGTTGTACACTTTGGTGCAACTGGAGTAGCAAGTCAGAGCCAGGGGAGAAAACAGGCGCCCCAGCTGGGCACATCAGATTAATCAAACACAGCCCGCTCACCCAGTCTCTGCAGATTAAGATCCTCTCTTAAGGCTCGTGCTCTGTTTACGTGGAGAAAAACAGGACCCTCTTTGTCCTTTTCATAGTGAAAAATAATTCACTACAATCTGGATGTCAACATTTGGAGACTAAAAATAGGACAGCTCTTTTTTTTAACAGTTAAACTTGCCCCAAATAGTTAAGATGCTGAAAGCAATGTCAAATCCTATCCATAAGCCTGATTTCTCAGAAGAATCTCTCAGAGATGAATCACGATATATTTGGAGCAGAAAGAAATGATCACCATACTTTCTCATCATTTTGGGGACTTTTACTTCTTTAACCACCAAGTGATCAGTGAACTTAACCTAATTGGATGTGGCAAAGATACAGCAGACTCTGAAGGGTAAAGAATTTTTTATCTTTTGGTGTCTCTTTGAATACTGACTACACTTCCTGAAACTCAAGTTCAACTGGAATTCCATGCTCCTTGGGACAGATTCACCAAAACAATGAAGATACTAATAGGAAAGAAAGGTCTTGTTTCTATTTCTTTGAGACTTGGAGACCTATTTCCTGAATTCCCCGTATACTTCCCCTTTCTCCAAACATTTAAGAGATTTGGGGGTGACCTCACAGATATTTATACATTATAAAATGCAATTCTGATACGTATTGTTCTGATTATTTGAGGAAATGTCTACATTCACTTGTATGTTGTATTTACAAAAAAATGTGCATGTGTGCTAGGGTGGTGTATTTGCTCCCACTCTCTCTTTTTTATGTGTTAAAAGCACACAGGTATCATACAGGTATTATGAGATTTCTATCAAGACTGACCCTTGTATCTGTGCATTCATCACGGTGAATCAAAAAACCTTTTGTGCTATTGAAATTCTCCTCATTCAACCTTCTTTATATATATATATATATATATATATATATATATATAAAACATTCACCTGTGAGCGCTATATATACACATGAGCACACACATACACGTATAGCATTCACGAGTAAGAAGTGTTAGAATTGATGAGAAATTGCTTAGATGTTAAGCAAAAGACAGGCTGCCTATTAAGGACGACTGCTGGGTTGGGGCATTTTGTTGAGCATTTGTGACACCTTTGCCTAGCCCAGAGCTTGTCTGATCATCACCTAGGGCTGAGGTGACACAAAAGCTCAAAAAATTCTTGGCAGAAATTCAGAGCGGCTTTCTACACCCTAGGAAGCTGACACCTGCTGTAAATGCTGAAATTTCACCGAGCATTGAGGATGCCTGGAATGGTTTGAAGTGCATTCAACTCCAGGGAAAAGTGTCCTTCCACATTGACCGAAATCCTGTTTCTGAAGTGAGGGGCTGTCAACAGAATGTGAGCAAAACGCAATGTTTCCCTACTCATCCTAAACTTTCTGGGCTAGTCCATCTGAACTTGTTGGGAAATCTTTGATTTTTATTGCAAATGTTTGAGACTTTTATAGTATCTTTTCTCCAAAGTGCATACTCTCAGAGAACTGTAACCTAGAACAGTTTTAAATGTGAAAATAAAAAGTGAAGCAGGAAAGCACAGGAAAAAGTGAAAGAAAAGGAGGTTAGGAAATTCAGCCATCAGTAAGTTCAAACCCCAGTCATTCAACGTTTAATTCACAGATACTACTAAAGCCAAGGACACTGGCGTTCCCCAGGGTACAGTAATACCATTTCTCCATAGCTCAATTTTCTTTCGCTAATAAAAGTTTTCCTTACATAGATGCTATGTTAAGAAACAGAAGGACATGACAATGAGATGTTTTCAAATAATAAACTGAGTGTTTGGATTTAAAGCTATGTTCTCAAAGTCAAGAGAAGTGCTTATAATGGACCTGCAGTTGCAAATTTCTATTCCAGACAAAAAGAGATCTTCAGTTAATTCCCTGGGTTGTCAAACCTTAGCTGTGTCAGCTTCATCTGAGGGGCTTATTGAAGCACACATTGCTGGCCCCAACTCCAGAGTTTCTGAATCAGTGGGTCTGAGGGGGGCCAGACAATGCACACTTCTTACAAGTTCCCAGACCTGCTGATACTTCTGGTCTTGAGACCACAATTTGAAAACCACTGAATTAATCAAAGTCCTGCTAAGTGCAAGGCTCCATGTCAGGTGCTGGAGGGGTAACACCAGATGGGTCCTAATAGAAACATGATCCTTGGCTTCCAGGATCTTTGAGTAACTAGGAGGCTTCTTTAGGAATGCAATTAGAGAGACATGAATACAATGCTATGAGAATTCCCGGAGCGGGGAAATTACTCCCATCTGGAGGAGAAGAAAGACCTTCATGGAAGATGCCTGGGGCCTCAGTGTTCATGCTGGGCTACAAGAGATGCTGAGAACTTGAACATTTGGTGAAGTAGGGGGGCCGGCGTTCTGGCTGGAGGAAGCAGTGTGAACAAGACAGGGAGGTCAAAGGCGGCTTGAATTTGGGTCCAAGTAAACAGTCCATCTGGCTGTAATGAAGGGCATATGAAGGAAGGGACAGTACAAAACAGAACTACTTAGCGTTCCCTAAATAGGGCCGTACCTTCCCTTGCCTCCCTGCCTTTATGCATGCCATTTCTTTTTCCAGAAAAGTCCTTTTTAAAAATTTTCTTTTTGTTTAAAAAATGGTTTCATTATTTTTAAATTTTATTTTTAGGGGGGTAATTAGGTTTATTTATTTATTTATTGCTAATGGAGGTACTGGGGATTGAACCCAGGACCTTGTACATGATAAACAGGCCCTCTAACACTGACCTGTACCCTCCTTCCCTGGAAAAGTCTTCTCTGATTGCTCCAGGCGTCTGCCTCCCTCCACGCTTCCATTCATCTGTAGACAATGGCTACAGCCCTTGGTACACTGTCTGCCTCCAACCCTGTCTGTCCACCATTCTATAAGCAGCCCTTTACGAAAATCTTAATAAATTTCCCTGTGCTGCCCAGCTCTTTATCTCCCACTCCTCAACCCTGCTTAATGAGGCTTCCACGCCCCAGATTCCAAGGAAGCTGCTTTTGCCAGCATCACCAGTGACTCTGATTGCTGCATCCTATGAACACCCTCAGTTCTGTCCAGCTTAACTACCCCACACTCAGCCATCCTTCCTTTCAACTTTCTTATTTCATTATGCTGACTCTTTTTCTCAGTCCCCTTTGTAAACTGCTCTTCCTTCCCCTCCAACTTTA